TCGATTCCTATTTTGCCTCAGATTAGGTCATTTGCAGTGGTGTGCAGTAATATGAATCTATTTTCGTGTATAGTTTCTGTGATATACTCATAAGGTATTTACAAAAGCATTATATAAACCCTTGTGCAAATTAATTGAAACAATCGCTTTAGTTTCCTTTCTTTCAGCATACGGTCAGTTTTAGACCCACTTGAGTGACAGGGTGTAATCGATTCCTATTTTTCCTCAGATTAGGTCATTTGCAGTGGTGTGCAGTAATATGAATCTATTTTCGTGTATAGTTTCTGTGATATACTCATAAGGTATTTACAAAAGCATTATATAAACCCTTGTGCAAATTAATTGAAACAACCGCTTTATTTTCCTTTCTTTCAGCATACGGTCAGTTTTAGACCCACTGAAGTGACAGGGTGTAATCGATTTCTATTTTTACTCAGATTAGGCCATTTGCAGTGGTGTGCAGTAATATGAATCTATTTTCGTGTATAGTTTCTGTAATGTACTCATAAGGTATTTACAAAAGCATTATATAAACCCTTGTGCAAATTAATTGAAACAATCGCTTTAGTTTCCTTTCTTTCACCATACGGTCAGTTTTAGACCCACTGGAGTGACAGGGTGTAATCGATTTCTATTTTTTCCTTAGATTAGTTCATTAGCAGATTTGTGCAGTTATATGAATCTATTTTTGGGTGTATGATGAAATTTTTTTGGACTTGAAAAATATTGAGTCATCCGTGATTGAATTAGATTTTTATCACGCCGATACACTATTGTCTTGACTGTCGATTATTTGTCCTACGGCCGCTGTCTGCGATGGATGTTACTCCAAGGAAGCGTATGAAAATTGTAACGCAGCGCGAACACACTGACAAGCCTTACCAGTGAGCCAGTACTCTAGACTGACCCGGAAACTCTCCTGATTTAAATCCAATCGAGAATTTGTGGTCAATCTGCATTGAACGACTGCAAGTGGAATGGAAATAAAAATTTTGTTGTAACCTAATTATGTAAGGGATCCTATGCAATATAGTTGAACAGTTCAACTAGAAAAATTGAAAGGAAATACAATGTACCTATAGACAAATGAGAGACATGTCACAATATATTATTCCGTCTTAAGTATATCAACAAAGTGTTGCGACAATTTTACCATTAACTTTAATAATTTTAACACATTCAACGTTATGGATAAAAAGATATGAATATTATATAGTGTTTTTTTTTCTTCTAAATTTATCATGAGCAAAACAATTTCACAGATATGGATGGAAAAAAAACCCAGAAGGATGTCAACATATGCGAAAATTTATCATCCTTTAATAGTCAGTTTTGCTTAATTTAATTTACAACCTATATAAATGTCGGGGAAAAGAAGAAAATGTTGATAAGGTAGCGAGACTCACAAAGAACAACTTGAGACCACAAATCAAGCTACTCCTGGCGAGGTTTAAGATTAATATTGGTCATATTTATATAAGGGAATTTAGGTAAACTTTAGTTAGGTTATGCAGAAGACTGTAGGCAAAGATTGACCGGCTTTATACTGGAGTTAATAGGTAAAGAGTAGTCGTGTTTATACAGGAGACTATATGCAAAGATTGATTGTGTTTGTTCTTGAGTTTATAGGTAAAGAGCGGGTGTCTTTATACAGGAGACTATAGACAAAGATTGGCCGAGTTTATACTTGAGTTTATAGGTAAAAAGTGGGCGTGTTTATTCAGGACATTATAGGCAAATATTGGCCGAGTTTATACTTGAGTTTATAAGTAAAGAGCAGGCGTGTTTATACAGGAGATTATAGGTAAAGATTGGCTGGATTTATACTTGAGTTTATAGGTAAAGAGCCTTCGTGTTTATTCAGAAGACTATAGGCAGAGATTGATCGTGGTTTTGCTTGAATCTATTGGCAAACATTGCTTGTGCATATACATGTGGCTATGAGTAAACATTGGTCGTGTTTATGTCTAAGTTGTTCGGAGCTTTCAAAGCGTATTTGTACGAACGAGAATACAACATCCTTTACTGGAGTTTGAACGCGACACGCTAGTGTCACTTCAGCGCCAATAACCTCTAAGCTACTTGCACATACAATTTTAAAGCAATGTCTGTATATCTTTCCCGACTGTCGTTGAAGTTTACTTCAAATGTACGTTTGTCAACAGCAATTTTTTTTCTTGCAGCAAATAAGGAACCGAGTAATATGCAAAAAAATATCGTTTAAAATTGAATATACAATTAACTCTTTATTTAATTATGTAGTTTTCTAGGGATTTTTTTTCTATTTTTTTACGTAAAGAGGGGCGTGTTTTGCAGAAATGCAAAATTAAAAAAAAAGAAATAAAAAATAAAGAAAATAAAATAAAATATTAAACAAGACAGTTAAATTAAATTTGGGCCTTTCTCAAGATAGAGCGTTCTTTCACTTCATCACAATTTTTCAATACCGACAATTATCACAAAGAAAGGGTTTTCTTTCATTTTTTTTTAAAATTTTGCA